CTGTCCATACCCTAGGTGGTCTGGGAACCCATGCAGAGCCTGGGCATCTCTTAGTCACCCCCACCCCTTTACCCTTCAGAGGCATGTGCTTGTGATTAGTGGCTTAGTCATGTCTGACTCTGCAACCCCATGGACTGTAGCCCACCAGGCTCCTCCATCCCCGGGATTTTTTCAGGCAAGTGTACTGGTGTGGGTTTTCCTGCCCTCCTCCAGGGATCTTCCAGACCCAGAGATCAAACCCACGTTCCCTGTGTCTCCTGCATTGCAGGTGGATTCTTTAACCTGCTGAGCCATTGGGGGCATGGAAAGAGCAGTTCTGAATCCAGGCTCAGCTATCTTCAATCTGTTACCCAATCTTTCTGTGCCTCAGTTTCTCCATTTGTCAAATGGGGACAATAATCCCGTTTTCAAAGGCCATGTTCCTCCTCCCCCTGTCCCCGTGTCCCCAGGATCACTAATCAGTGAGGCCTGGCTGTTATCACCTCTGTATATCCCAGTCCCCAGTCTGAGATCATGGGTCACTGAGTTATAACCCCACCCTCCCTCCAGTATCCAAGATACACCCGAAAGGGAAACTGAGCTCACACAGACTAAGTCCCTGGGCACCAGCCTCAACGTCAGCCCCACCCCTAGGCTGGCCAACACAGAGGACAGTCCAGGTTCAGCACCACTGTTCAGACCTGGTTTCAGAGGGTTCAGATCAGCTGGGGTTGCACAGGCCCTGGCACTTCGTGACTGTGCGACCTTAGTTTCTTGTTCACTCTGGGCTCGTTTCCTGTTGCCCCTTCTCCAACCCCAAACCTACTTCATCCCTGGCTCTTGGCTTGCAGCCTGGGATGTAAGAGGTCCTCAGTGATACCACACACGACCTTTGTTGTTTGGGCTTTTTGTTTGTTTTTCTGGTTTTTTACTCAAGCACCTCTAGTAGAATGATGCTGGTATAAAGTGGGTTTCCCAGTGCTCAGTGACGATCTAGAGAGGTGGGATTGTATCTAGGTTGGGGTGGGAAGAAGGTTCATGAGGGAGAGGACATACGTATACCTGTGGCTGACTCATGTTGGTGTATGGCAGAAACTAACACAACATTGTAAAGCAATCATCTTCTAATTAAACACACTTTTTTTTTTTTAAAGAAAAAGGAATAAAGCTTATTTTATACCCAGGGAAAACAATAAAGTGGGTTTACCCAGCACATTCAAGTTTTGAAAGCAATCTGGGGCAAGTTTTCACACGATCAAACAGAAAGACTTGGCAAAAGCTGACAGTCTGTGGGACATGCCAGACCATCTTTTCCTGTCACCCTACAGACCTGAATCATTCCTGGCTGCCCCCTTCTGTACAAGGGGCAGTTGAGTGAGTGGCTGCAGACACTCTGAGGTTTCTATGACTTAAACTCTTTGGTGAAGCTGTGAGTACAGATTCAGAGGCTGAGTGGTCATTTCCCACTGCATTAAAATGATGGGTTAATCCAGAAGGCTACAGCCAGGATCTGATTTTTATTTTGGAAGAAATAGTCTCCATAAGAAGCAAAACTCACCAGTACTTACATCCAGAAGAAAAAAATCAGGAGCCCCAGGACCCAAGGCTGCAAAGCGTTGCTGGGCAGTGATGTTAGACACATGTTTATGTGGAGGTTTAACCAGGGAGGAATTTTTAGCAGGATTGTTATGATTCTGGTTAGTGTGTGTCTTGCTGTATCTCACGGTTCGCTTGACCCAGGGTAGGCAAGGCGTGAGCAGGGAAGCTGGAGGAAGACAGGAGCTGTAGGAACGGCAGACATGTTTGTTTGAAGCAGCAAGGTAGACATGCTTTGCTCTAATGGCTGAGAGTAGCAATGACGATGATGACAACTCCACAGAACTCCAGGCACCTCGACTCGCCTCTCTTCATCTACAAGAGCGTTTCAGGTGGTGCTTACATAGGACCACACTGTGATGTGCGTGTGCAGTGCCACAAATGATCCCAGCTGTAGGACAGGAGTGGAGTGGGGTGAGAGAGCCTGACCACTGCCACCTGGCCAATTGCTCTCTCCCTACAGTGTGCTAGTCATGAAATTTCATAGGTTTGGAGGCATCTTTCCCAACCCCTCTTTTTCATAAGCCCTATTAGCTGTGGTGTAGGAACACACGTGGATGTCTGACCAGAAACAGCTGTACTGATGGTTGTGTCGGATACTCTTTACTGACTGAGTGCATCCAGGTGCTTGCTCATGCCATTTCCTCCACTGGAAACATGTCTGTAACCTGGAAAGCTCTAGGTCTTCCTCCAAAGCCCAAAGCAGACAAAACCTACTTAAAGAAACCTTCCAGAGTCCTCCCTGGAGGGTTCCTCCTGGCCAGTTTCCTTCTACTAGATTCTGATGACTAGACTGTGGCTTTCCCAAGTACATGCACGTATCCTCAGTGTCCTGAGCAAGACCTAGGCTTGAGTGGGAAGAGGTGAATTGCGTTTTGAATGAAAGTAGAAGTTAAAAAGCAGGGGTTGTTGGAGAATGGTGCTCAAATGCACACTGAGGCTCCTGGGAGCCTGTTTACAGGAAATCTGGATTTTTCTGCAGTGGCTTATCCCTGTTTGACCACACCTCCTTTTCTCAAGAGACAGAGGAAGCTGAGGGAGTGGCAAGGATTCAACTTGGAAGGGACCAGAGGAAGGAAAGCAAATCCTGTTTCCTGCTGATTGTGGAGAGCAGTGATTCACTGTGGAGGGCTTGTGATGTTAAGGATTTTTTTTTGGTCACTCTTTGCAGCCTGTAGGATCTTAGTTCCCCGACCGATGATTGAACCTTTGCTCCCTGCACTGGAAGCGCAGAGACTTAACCACTGGGTCACCAGAGAAGTTCACTGAGGTCTTTATAAGCAGTTACAAATTTAATTTTCTCATCCACTCCAGGAGGGAGGTACCCATTTCAGAAATGAAGACATCAAGGCTCAGTGACTTCACTGGACAAGCCACAGGTGGTCCAGTGGCTAAGACTCTGTGCTCGCAATGCTGGGGGGCCAGGGTTCAATTCCTGGACAGGGAGCTAGATCCCACATATTCCAACTAAGAGTTCACAGGCCATGGCTAAAAATCCCCCATGCAACTAAGACCCAGAGCAGCCAAGTAAATATATAAAAAAAGAAAGAAATCAAGGCTCAGAAGAGAAACAACTTATCTAAGATCTCAGAGATAAAAAGAAAAATAGAAGCCCAGGTCTGACCCTAAAGTCCTTTCTTCACCATTCTGATTTATGTCCAAGGGGAAGGGGCTAGGAGAGGGTGCTGAAACACTGAGGTCCAAGGTCTCCCTCCCTATAAGGGTCTGCTTCCCTAGGATAGAGGTCATGGGGCGCCCTGGACCCTGGAGAGCCTGTAGAAGGACAGGAGGAGCAAAGGGTATGATTCTATCAGAAGAGCGCTTGGCCATTTGCAATTCATTTACTTTTTTATCATGTAATTCTCCTGAGGAGGGGCAGAATTATTATCTTATTATGTAGGTGGGGAAACAGGCGAAGGCAGGGACGTGATTTGTTCAGATCACACAACAAGTCAGCGAAAGAAGTAAGGCTCAAAAATCATTTCAGACAAGCTCCTGACAAGCAGACTCTCCTGCAGGCAACAGACTCTAGACCTGGTACAAAGTATAAAACACAAAAGTACAGAGTGCAAAACCGCCATGTGAGGGCTCAGGAGAAGGAGCAGAGAAGGAAGATTTTGAGGGGAGTCAATAACCCTAAATATTAATTGGAGGAACTGGTACTGAAGCTGAAGTTCCAATACTTGGTTACCTGTTGTGAAGAACTAACTCACTGGAAGACTCTGACACTGGGAAAAAGTGAAGGCAAGAGGAGAAGGGGGCAACAGAGGATGAGCTGGTTGGATGGCATCATTGACTCAATGGGTTTGAGTCTGAGCAAACTCTGGGAGATAGTGAAAGACAGGGAAACCTTGTGTGCTGCAGTTCACAGGGTCACAAAGAGTTGAACATGACTTAGAGATTGAACAATGAACAACAACAAAATATGGATTGAACGATGGGCAGAGGACAAGTTTGTCATTTTTTTGTGTGCTTTCCCTTGAAGGAAGCTGCAGTTCTGAAACAGATAGAAGGGACTGAAAGTATGATAGAAAGCCTGCTATTTTTCTGGCCCAAAAACAGCCCCAGAGGGCAGAACCCAGAGCAACCAGGACTGTGGGAGGAGGAGAAATGGTTAAAGGAGAAAAAGAAAGGCAAGGCCAAATTTTGTGCACAATTTCTACACCGTGTCTGATGGATCCTTACCACATAGCATTCTACAGACTAAAAGAAGTCTGAGCTAAGATGATAGTTGCCTCTCATCACAGACAAGACAGATTTGCAATTTCAGTCTAACCAAGTGAATTGCCTGCCAAAGGGGAAAAAATTATTATTGGAGGAATATAATTGGGTTGGCCGAAAAGTTTATTCAGGGTTTTTCCATACCATCCAGTGGAAAAATCCAAGCTAACCTTTTGGCCAACCCAATTAAAGAATAGGGTTACCCAGGTAACTCAGCGGTGAAGAATCTTGTGGGAGATTCACAGGAGAGTGGGAGTCACAGGAGACACAGATTCCATCCCTGGGTCGGGAAGATCCCCTGGAGAAGGAAATGGCAACCCATTCCAGTATTCTTGCCTGGGAAATCCCATGGACAGAGGAACTGGTGGGCTACAGTCCATGGGGTTTCCAAGAGTAAGACGCGACTAAGCGACTGAGCACACACATGCACACACACACACTAAAAGAATCCATGGCCTCTTCAAGATAATATTCATAACGTCCAGGATATTTTAAAAAATTACTTGACCTAAAGCAAGGAATGAAAATGGACCTTTTCCAGTCCCTGTGGCCACTGCTGAGTTTTCCAAATTTGCTGGCATATTGAGTGCAGCCCTTTCACAGCATCATCTTTTAGGATTTTAAATAGCTCAACTGGAGTTCCATCACCTCCACTAGCTTTGTTCATAGTGATGCTTCCTAAGACCCACTTGACTTCACATTCAGAACATACAGATACTTTATTGCTCACCTTTCACACAAAGCACACCTCCAGCCATTTTCTTTCACAGCTTGACAGTATTTACGTGTACAAAAACCCAGCAAGAAGCGTCATGTAGATTTCAGCAACGGCGAGTGTCAAACATCAACTCAGCCAGGCTTTTGTTTTCTGCAGCAATAATAAAGGGCCTCCTGCTCTAAGCAAAAGTCTGTCCTCTTACTTGGTAGTGCATTTCTTTCATTACAAAAAGTCTCCTGCCCAAAGCAAACTAACTTGTATCTGCTGAGCCAGTGGTTTTAACTCGTGCATAAAACAAATTTCAGTTTGCTGTTTCTTCTAGCAGATTTCAAGTAAAAATAAAGTTGAAAGAGGAACTTGTTTTGAATGGATGCAGGTCAGTTTGAATTGCTAAACTTAACTAAATGACTACATGTACTATAGGTTCACAACTTAGTCTGCTTTTATAATCTTTATGGATTTTGGCCGTGTTCAAGGTTTTCAGAGTTGAGCATATGGTACAGTATTCTGTCAAAAGGATAAGGCTACTGAATGTGCTATCTGCAGAAGAGCTCATTTAATAGGAACTGACCTTAAAGTTCTATCATGAAGCGAATGTTGCATAACCTCTCTGAATAAAAAGCCAATCAGCGCAGAACTGTGCTTGGAAAATAGGCATCAGAATACTTTAAGGAAAACACATATAAATGGATTGTTAATATGAGGAAGGTTTCCTAGTTGTAAATCTAAAAAAATCTAGAAGAATTCTCATTTTTCAAAACTGCATATTGAAAACATGAAAACTACTTATTCAAGTAATTTCTTCAGAAAAATACGCATGTTCTGACTGTGGAATTAGTCTAAACTGGTCAGTTAAAGGCAGTTTTAATTACCTTTTAAGAAATTCTTCATACAAAGGAGAGATATTGTATGTGTTTCTCAAATAAACAGCATTATGTAAGTCCATTAAAAAAAAAAAGAACAGTATTGTATGAAGACCTACAAATGCTTATGCCAAGCAGGAATCTGCCTGTCACCGGTGGTCTCACATTAATTCAAAATCAACGCTGGATTCAGGATTCTGAAACTAAGTTTCTATTACTTGAGCTCTAGCAAAATGTAAGGTTCTATGTAGCCTCAACTAGTATAATGTCTTCCCTGTCCAAATCCAGAATGATTATACTGGTAACCTCCATGCTGGAAGTGCTGTTCAAATTGCCCCCCTTGATGATAATTCTGACTCCCTCTTCCTCCCCAACCTCCTCCTTGGCCAGCGCGTCCACCTCGGCCTCCACGACCCCCTCTCCCTCCACGACCACTGCCTCGATCACTGTGATGCCCACCATCTTGGTATCTATTGTCCTGCTGATATCCACAACCCTGGTATCCACTTCCTGTGTATGTAGATGTTTGGAAGCCACCATAACCACCGCCCTGATAGCCACCACTGTGGCCACCATGATAGCCACCGGACTGGAAACCCGAATCTCGATAACCGCCATCTTGGTAGCCACCCCCTCCTCCACTGCCTCCATCTGTCCAGTCTCCTTGATGCTTATTTCCTCTTCCTCCCCCTCGGCCACCATGGTCATAGCCGCCACCACGTCCACCTCTCCCTCCTCCTTGTTGTTCATGACCTCCTCGTCCTCCATATGAGGAATGTTCATAACCACCTCGCCCGCCTCCTCGTCCTCCTGTGGTTGCTGGGGGCCATCTTGCCTTTTCTGCCATGGTGGCATCTCTGGGGGTGGAGGTTTGATTTCATTGGGCCTACCTCCTCTGTCGGGAACTCTGCCCATCAACACCTTATTGATGGCACAGGCAGTCTTTTCTCTTATAGAGCCACTGCTCGTCCTTAAGATCTTTGACAAGTCTTGTCTTGCAGCCAAAAGGTGGGCAACAGAAATAGTACTTTTAGGAGATAAGACTGAGCGTTTCGGCTGGTAAACCTTCGCCAATTTTTCTGTTTGACTCTTAGCTCTGTCAGACCAGCCAAAAGACTGGACAGTGACATCCAAACGTTTTATTAGCAGCTTTCTCCGAACTTCATATTCATTGGCCACAGCTTGGTTAATTGCTTCTATCTTTTCCCAGTGGGCCGGTCCCACTGGCTTCTTCAATAAAGGCTTTCCCACATGATTAGGTGGAACTTTTGCTAATGTTTCCTTTAATTTTTTTTTCAATCCCGCTGAAGAATTGGAACATAGTTATATTGGCTGGAGGTTTGGACATTCCTAGAGCAATACATATGCCTTTCAACTCTTGAAAGACCTCACTACCGCCTCCTTCTTGAGCTTTTTTTGGAAGAGTATTCACACAGAGCATTCTGGCAGCTTCTAGTTCTGAGATGAGGTGTGTGAGCAAAAGGAGGCAGTTCTTCTGAATGAGAAGGCGCTTGGTCACATCCCCAGATGTCAGTGAAAGATATGGACAGTTCATCTCCCCTAGTAGCCCACTCACCTCAAGCTGGAATTCTTCAGCTTCACTTGGGCCTTTTAAGAATTAAAATAATCTTATTTAACAAAAATTACTGTTTTCCCCATTGGCATAGTAATTATCTATAAATTGAAAATTTTAATAGTATTTTCCTAACACAAGTACCTTTCTCTTCTAATCCATCCTTTCTCACACTACTGCCTATTTGCTTTCTTTAACAGTTTTCATTAGGTTATTACCTTTAATGGATTCCTAAGTTCCACCTCATCCAATCTAATTTTTTCTGTTTGCCTTTGAAGATTCTTCACAGCCTCTTTGCTTGCCCTTTCCGGTATACTGGTAGGAGTAGTTCCTATTACTTGTATATAGCAGTTACCTACAACCTCCAGAAATCTTCCCTCTAGTGGTGCCAGGCTGGTCTCCTCACCATCCTGGAAATGGGCAGTCTCATTTCTACCTCCGTGTCCTAACTTCAGTGACTCCCTGTGACTGATATGCCCTTTACCCCTTCCTCCTCTATTAAATCCCACATATTCATCAAAGTCCAATGGTCTTGCTCCTTGATGAAACCTTCCCAAAAGCCTGCTACACTCACCGAGTTTCCTTCCCTGTGAACCACAAAGTGAACCATTTAACTACTGTTCTAATCTCTATTTGTTTCAGTTGTGTCTAAAATTCCCATTTGAAGACGGTGAACATGATTTGCATTTCTGTCTTCTCATAACATGTCGGATACAGCGTTCACTGGGTGAACCAAGAGAAAGCAATGCTCTTCTTCCTTACTCTATCCAGTATCGCAAAGGGGTAAAATTTAACTAATACACTGACAAGAGTCTCTTGATTTGACTCCATTTTCTCACCTATAAAATGGGAAGAATGCATTATCAGTGTTTTGCAAGCTGTGTTCTGTGAACTTGAGAGTTTCAAAGGACTCTGTTAGAGGAAGCTGGAGCAGAGACAGCTGTGCTCAAAGCACTCCCTCTCAACCTCAACTAGAACCCCACGCTTTTACCTGTTTTGCATTGANGAAAAATTGATGCTTTTGAACTGTGGTGTTGGAGAAGACTCTTGAGAGTCCCTTGGACTGCAAGGAGATCCAAACAGTCCATCCTGAAGGAGATCAGTCCTGGGTGTTCATTGGAAGGACTGATGCTGAAGCTGAAACTCCAATACTTTGATCACCTTATGCGAAGAGCTGACTCCTTGGAAAAGACCCTGATGTTGGGAGGGATTGGGGGCAGAAGGAGAAGGGGACGCCAGAGGATGAGATGGCTGGATGGCATCACCAACTCAATGGGCATGAGTTTGAGTAAACTTCGGGAGTTTGTGATGGCCAGGGAGGCCTGGCGTGCTGCGATTCATGGGGTCGCAAAGAGTCGGACATGACTGAGCAACTGAACTGGAAGCAAGGAAAATGTAATCCATTCTCAAAAGAAAAGACTATCAACAGAGTTCAACACTGAATGGTACAGATATGGGAATGAATAAACAAAAATTTAAAGGCCGTTATTATAACTATGCTTGATGAGATAAAGAAAATTACATGTGTATGAAAAGATAGAAATCTCAATAGGGGAATAGAAAATACCAAAGGACAAAAAAAGAGCAAGAGAAAATTTTAGAACGGAAGTATACGGTACCTGAAATTTTAAAATTTAATGTTTGCACTTAATAACAGAATGAAGATGGCAGAGAAAGAGTGAGTTTAAACATAGATTTTAAAAGAAATTATCCAATCTGAGGAAACAAAAGAAAAAAGTTAAAAAAAAAGCCTCATGGACTTGTAGGAAAACATTAAAAGGTATAAAGTTAGTAGGTAATTGAGGAATTGGGTTCCCAACTGGAGAGAAGAACAAAAGGAGTGGGGGAAGATATTTGAAGAAATAATGGCTGAAAACTTTTCAAGTTTGGTGAAAGAGCTAAATTTACATGTTCAAGAACGGACTTGTGGACACAACTGAGAAAGGAGAGGGTGGGATGGATGAAGAAAGTAGCAACGACATAGTTACACTCTCATGTATAAAACTGGAGGAGGAAATGGCAACTCACTCCAGTATTCTTACCTGGAGAATCCCATGGACAGAGGAGACCGATGGGCTACAGGCCATGGGGTTGCAAAGAGTCAGACATGACTGAGCATGGACGCACATGTGTGTAAAACAGATAATGGGTGGGAAGGTGCTGTGTAACACAGGGAGCCCTGCCTGGGCCTCTGTGAGGACCCTAGGGGAGTGGGATAGGAGCAGGGAGGGGCGCCCACAAGGGAGGGGATCTATGTACAGTTAAGGCTGATTCTCCTTGTTGTAAGGCAGAAACCAACCGAACATTGTAAAGCAATTATCCTCCCACTAAAAATAAATAAATAAATAAATAAATGAAAAAAAAAATTAAAAAAAAATTAAAAAAAAAATAAATGAAACCATTGGAGATGCATTTTACAGAAAAAAACAGAAGAAGAATTTCTGTGAGGGACTTCCCTGGTGGACCGTGGTTAGGACTCTGCGCTTTCACTGACGAGGGTGCAGGTTCAATCCCTCGTTGGGATCTAAGATACCAAAAGCGGTGTGGTATGGCTAAAAAAACAGTTGTGTGAACCCCAAAGAATATAAGACAGTCATTCCCCAGACAGTCTAACACTTTCAAAATGGGCTGTGTAACAAAGAGGCTGGTAGTCAGACTACATCTAACCATACATCACGGACTGCCCTTCATCAAAGTTGACTTGGAGCCCAATGAATTTAGCCCTCAGAAGCAGTGGCCTGAGATATCACTGAACTGTCCTGAAGGGGACTCAGTGCCATGTGTCCTGAAGAAATATCTTGAACGCTTGTGTTGTGGTCTTATGGAATGTGTCATGCTCTGAATCCACACCCAGTATTTAGTGCATTTGCTCCCATGTCCATGTTTTATGGATCTAGGAATTAAGAAGTTAAGACAAGGTGGTAAATTTCATGGTTTTGATGTTGCTCAGGCCAGTGGGGTAAAGGCTGCTGTCCAGGTCTTTGATCTAGAAGAGGAGAGCTGGATGCTTATCCCATGCCACACCCCACTCCCCACACCAGCACCCACGACTGTGTCTGGAGCAAGGCCAAGGCTGGGCGAGGAGCCTGAGCCAGGGTCAGTCCTGCTGCACTGTGAGCAGGCTGTTCCTGATACAGGGGAAGCAGGAGCTGGGGGTCTAGTGGAGAAGGGGTTGGGAAGGGGACAAGTTGGGGTCAGCAAAGAGGAAGCCATGAGTTAGACTTGCAAACACAGAACCTCAGTCCTGAAGGAATCTCACATCTGGGTGTCTCTGCTCATGTGCACTTCCACCAAAGGTGGCAGTGGACATCAGGGTTCAGGCAGCTTTACCTTAGGTAATTAGAGAAAAAGCTTTCTTAATTTTTTTATGTTTAGCAGGTAATGTAAAGTCAAGAGTGAGTTTAGCAGTCTTAGGAGACAGGGGAGCTAAGCAGCAGAGGCTGAGCAGGGTGCAGCCACAGGCAGGAGAGCCGGCTAGGACTACACGTGGTTTGGAAGCAGGGCTGTGACAGAACAAGTCTCTTATCACCAATTGTCATTGACAGGGAGACGGGGCCCAGGCCAGCTCATCACTCATCTGAGTGTAAACACTTGGTAGATAATCTGTGCAAGCAGCACAACTTGCTGAAAAGCAGCTTTAGTGTAAATTCTGACCTCTGCAGACTTAGCACAACCCTGCTCAGTTAGGTTTAAGCCCCAGGAACAAGCCAACAGGAGGTTGTGTGCAGCTGGTGTGAAAGCGGCTCTGTGAATTGCAAGGTACCTTTGAGACATGGGAGCAGCAGCTTAAAACCACGCAGTGCTGGTGCCTGCAGAAAAACTAGAAACCACCACCAGAGAACCTGCTGGGAGGGACTCAGGTCCTGGGTGGTGGGCACGTGCGTGCAGCATAGACCCCTGCCCGTCTCTCCCCACGTGGGACAGGACAGCAGGTGGCGCCAGACAGCCGTGTGACCTGGGCTCCAAGAAGGCAGGTACACTGCCCCGGACCAAGGACAGTTGTGCTACAGACACACCATGTGCTTGCTTGACTTCCTCCTGGGACAGGACACCCTGTGTCCTCCTGAGCAGTCAGCTCAACCTGGATGCAGGAAAGAGGCTGGAAGCACACAGAGGCCCCACCCAGGACAGTCCTTCCCAGGCAGGGGCCGGGGCCACATTCCTGGACCCTGGGCCCAGCTTCCTCCTGTTCTCCATGGGGGTGATACCACCTGCTCTCAGAGGAGCAGTGAGGATCCGATGAGGATCCAGGTGACTGTGCTGACACAGCGATGGCCCAGCCCAGGCTCCACCGGGTGAATTTCCCTGAAGGTAAGAGGAACAGGGAGTGGGATCCCAGTGAAGACTGGTATCAAGGGAGCAATGTTCCTGGCGTCCGGTCCCTACTGCACCTCCCTGTTGCCTGTACATATATAACATACACGCAGAACACTGAGAAAGGGGCTCAACAGAGCAGGAGAAGCCCTGACATCGCCCTGGGGCCCTTCACCCCTGACATCACTGCAAGATGCAGCAAGTGGAGGTGATGCGTGTTTGTCTCCAGCTGGGGAAGTGAGCAGTTCACTTGCTGTTGTGTGTGGGGTGCTTGGACCCAGAACAGGGTGAGGAGAGTCATTTCTCTTGGTCTGAGACGAGGGCACATGTGCATCTAGGAAGCACTCAATCTGGAGCCTCTTGACCTGAGACTTTATCCCCAGGGTTCAGGGTCCCTGTTAGCCATTCATCTTCCTCATCCTTCAGCCTGACCTACTGGTCTAAAAATATAGTCCCTGGCCCCCAGCTATTCTGTGTCCTGAGAATTTGACACTGGGATTCCTCTTGCCGGGACCTAGCCCCTGCTGGCTGGGGCCTTAGGGGACAGACCGTGAGCTCCTGCAGGGGGACCTGTCCCGCTTCCTGTCCTTNTTCTGAACTGTGTGGGTTTGGGACTTCTTTCCATCCTCTGACCTGGCCTGCATCTCTCCAGTGCATGCTCTAATGTGCTCACTTAGCCAGACTCAGTTTCTCTTGCTCAGACACAGGGCTCTCACCTGACACAGAGGTCACCATGGAATTGCATCATCTGCTCATTGAGCTGAATGGTCCAGCTCTAAGGGCTCAGAGGACGTGGGGGTGAACAATGAATGGTTGTGTCACTCAGCCTGTGAAACCCTGCCCAGGAGAAGTCTGTGCAGGATGGGAATTCTCCAGGAACTGATGAAGAATTGACAAGGAATGAACTCATATTTCTAAAGGTTGGGCAGGTGATGGCCATGACTGTTGATATCTCCAGGAAGGAGTGGAAGGGCTGGTTGAAGCCTCAGGGTAACACTGGCTGAGAGGGAGTCAGAGGCACTGAGGACAGTCTTCCGAGGGAGGTTTGGACAGAAGTGTGGAGAAGGCTCTGCAGCACGTGGGGAGGGACTTAGGAGACGTCCTGGGATCTTTTCCAGGTCCCGGGTCTCTGGCTTCCTCCCCCGGGCTCCAGGCGTGGGAGACTGTTAGGTGCTCACATGCTCCACACGTGGAAACCCAGAGAGTCGGTGCCCCATGGAGCAGACCCGTGGGGGTGAGAGCAACACCCAGATGCTCCCCTCTCCTCCCTGGAGAGGAGGAGCCTGAGGCATCCCATGAAGGCTCCTCAGAAGGTCCAGGCAGGTGCAATCCCAGATGGGTGACCAGGTCAGAGCATACCTTGGATGAACTTTCCCTCCTCCCTTGACCACTTCCCCCAGCCCCTCAGTCCTTCTCCTGGGGGTGAAGTGAGCCTGGCCTCCAGCTCTGCCCTCAGGGGACCCCAGGCCCCAGCAGAATACTTCGGGCTACAAGTTTTATTGAAAGCACATGCATTTGCCTGATGCACAGTGTGGTCAAGCAATACAAGAATGTCAGAGTTTGGAGCAGAACAAGTTTTATCGCAGGGCCGTGCAAGCAGAGAGGCGGCTCATGTGTTAAAACCCCCAAACTCCCCAAAAGCTCTCAACAAAGCCCTTTTATAGAAAAGTGAGGGGGGAGGGCCTGGTTAGTGTCTAACTTCTCCTGTCAGATTCTTGCTGTTGATATCAGGTCATGATGTTCCTATAAACCTCCAGCAAAGCAAATTCTCTGTTCTGACAAGAAAGGGCAAGGTCCCAAGGCTCAACTTTCACCCTGAGGTTCAGGTCCTAGCTAAGAGGAGGCTTTCCCTGCGAGGGCTGGTTACCTTGCCAGGGACCCTTCCTCCAGCACTCAGGTCTAAGTCCTCTCGCCAGTACCCAAGCCCTGCTGAAAAGGCAGATCTCAGCCGCTCGTGCCCTTTAGTCCGCAGAGCCTGCTCAGTCGTGACCACTGAGGGAGCCAGGCACCCAGCATCGAGCCAGCCCTCAGGCTTCTAGTTTAACCTGGAGAGATCGTTGCATGGGATCCATAGGAACACGTGTTGCAGAAAATGCCCTTCAGGTTAATCCCTGGCTCCCAACTGTTGCCCTTCTTAGAGGACAGCCCCCACCATAGAATGGACTTGAAGCAATGCTGTGCAATGTCCTTGCCACTTAACCCTGACCTCTGGCACCTCCTCGGGGTCGACAACTGACCTCAGCTGGACCAGTTCTTGGAACTTGAATGGAGTGACTGAAGCTGGTTAAAGCTGTCACCTTAATGACGGTGAGCAGTTACTCCAGTTGCTGAGGCCTCTGTGGACGGGGACCCATGGAGACCTCCATCACCTCAGGGCTCAGAGGTGGGGATTGGGGAGAGGTTCACTGTCTTCTCAAGGACGGGCCCGGCCAGGGAGTGGCCAAGCGAGGGCTCTGGAGCTCTGCAGGTCACCATCCCCAGCCTGTCCCCCACCCTTCAGCTCACCTTCAGGCCTGAGGCTGGAAGGCCTGGAGGGCTGGGGAGAAGGTGGCCATCCCCCTCTTCTAACACTCTACACTGTGAGGACACCACTGCCAGTCTGACTGTTGGAGGGAGGGATCTGCAACCACCCCCTCCTGGTCTCCTGCCGACAGTCTCCTCCTAACTGTCTCGAGCTAATAGCTGTGCAGCCCCCGGCCCTTTTATGTGGAAGCTTTGGGCGTCTGTGCTCAGAGTCATGGGTGACAGGGAAAAGCTGGAGGTGAATGTTGCTAAGGTCGATATTCTTAAGGGTCATTTTAGTCCCGTGTGGGGAATAGACGGGTGGATGTAGGGCGGTGCCCCAAGGTAAACACAGGAAGACTGTTCTGGAAGGTCCTGCAGGAGTCCTGGTGAAACATGAAGGCAGCCTGGATGAGGGATGTGCTGTCTCCCTCTGTCCCTCTGTTTACGGCTGACCAGCTCTCACATCTGCACACAAGCCCTCTGCTCTCAGTCACCCTCGGGTGCCCCGTGTCCATCCTGGTCCCCGGGGCTGGAGGAGGAGTATCCCCGTGCTCAGCCCAAGACAGATGACATGGGCTCCCCCGGGGGTCCCATGGGGCCTGCGGGGCTCCAGGGTCTGAGGGAAATGACTGGATGGGAGCCCAGCGGGCAGGAGGAGCCATGGAGGACGTGCTCCCTGAGATCCTGGGAGACAGGCTCATGGGGAAGGAGGTCAGGCATCCAGAGCCCAGGTGAGCCCGTCAGTCAACACAAGGAAGCCTCAGTGAATCAGCTCATATTTATTGAACCAGAGTCTGGAGAACCCTAGGTGGGGAGAACCAGGCAGACCTGGAATATCTCGTCAAGCACCAACACCACCTGAGGAAGAAATGGAGGCTCCAAGAGGTTGTGTCCATTGGCCCCAGGCTGGTTGACTTCCTTGACTCACTGCAAAGTTTGTGACCTGTTGCTGCCTATTGCTTTCATTTTTCTTTCTTTTTTCCTTATCAACCTCGGTTCTCACGCAACATTTGGAATTTCGCGGGAACTTCACTGGTTTGTTGCTTCTCTCTGGACCCAAAGAGCCCCTGGCAACTTGTCAAATGTTTTATCCACTGTGTTGTCATCATCATCATTGCTGCTGCTTCCATCATTACCACCATCATTATTTAGGAGTCACTGCCTGAAGACCTATATAGATGTTTCTTCAAAGACATGCAGGTGACCAGCAGGCACATGAACAGATGCTCAACCTCATTTATTATTAGGAAAGTGCAAATCAAAACTACAATAAGGTATCAGCTCACACCAATCGGAGGGACTATTATCTAGATGTCTACAAATAATCAATGCTGGAGAAGATGTATAGAAAAGGGAACCAACCCCTCTACACTGTTGGTGGGGATGTAAGTTGGTACAGTCACTACAGGGAACAGTATGGAGGTTTCTCGAAAAACTAAGAATAGAACTACCATGTGACCCAACAATTCCACTCCTGGGTGTGTAACTAAAAGAAAAAAAAACCCCAAACACTAATAAATCAATGCTGGAGAAGATGTATAGAAAAGGGAACCCCTCTACACTGTTGGTGGGGATGTAAGTTGGTACAGTCACTACAGGGAACAGTATGGAGGTTTCTCGAAAAACTAAAAATAGAGTTATCAGATGATCCAGAAATCCCACTTCAGGGTAAATATCTGGCAAGGGGAAAGCTCAAATTTGAAAAGATACACACACACAAATGTCCATAGAACACTATTGACAATAGCCTAGACATGGAAGTAACCTAAATGTCCATCGGCAGATGAATGGGTAAAGGCAATGTGGTGCATATATACAATAGAATATTACTTAGCCATAAAAAAGAATGAAGTAATGCCCTTTGTAGCAACACGTATGGATTCAGAGCTGATGATACTAAGTGAAGTAAGTCTAACAAAGACAAATATATGAAATCACTTATTAGTGGAATGTTAAAAATACTAAGGGAATTCCCTGGTGGTCTTTTGGTTAGGATTTGGTGTTTTCACAACCGTGGCCCAGGTTCATCCCTGGTTGAGAAAACTGAGAGCTCACAAATGGCTTAGCATGGCCAAAAGGGGGAAAAAAAAGAGTTCAAATGAACTTATTTACAAAACAGAAATACTTACAGAAAGCAAGCTTATTGTTACCAAGGTGGGGAGTGATAGGTTAGTATGGGATTAACTGATGCATACTACCATACATAAAATAAACAACAAGGACCTGCTATATACTACAGGGGATGGTATTCAAAATTTTTAACCTGTGATAGAAAAAAATTAAAAAGAATATAGATATATACTTAAATATGTGTATAACTGAATCACTTTGCGGTATACCCAAGACTAACAGAATGTTGCAAATCAACTTTGCTTTAATAAAAAAAACAAAAAAGAGTAGTCACTGCCTAATTAAGATAAGCCTGCTGGGATCAAAGGTGAGTTGATGCCGGAGAAGGAGGTCTAGAGACCATCACCAGGAGGAAACTCTTCCTGCTGGGGCATCAGACCCTGGGGAGGGCGATAGAGGAGCCCTTGCTACTTCTCCTGGACCCCAGCAGTCCTAACTCTTGGGGTTTTCTCCATTTTCAACCCTTCTCAATTCCTGGTCTCTCATTGCTAGTTCCTGTGCCCCTCCTGTTATTATTCCCCTCCTGTGTCTTCTTTAGTCCAAAATAAGTGGTTTCTCCCCATACCTGCACCCCCCAGTTCAGGCTCCTTCCTACTCTCTCTCCATCTACCACCCGCATGCATCCCTCCCCTGCTGTGCTCAGCTTCAGAAACACCAAATTCCTAAAACTCAGCTCCACCAATTTTATTTTGCAATCTTACCCTCTAGCAAGTTGCCTTTGGGGCTTGGCCACTCATGTGTTCCTGGTCCCTGCACTGCTCTGGGGTGTCCAAATTGGGGCCTACTTCAGACGCTCATAGATGTGGGTGAGCACCTCCAAATTCATCTCCAGCTTCTGGGCTTGTTCCCTCAGTCTCTCAGCAGATTCTGTCTTTGCCCTACCCTGCAAGTCCTGTGAATCTTTCACCAGGGACCATATGTTGAATGGGAGGAACAAACCTGCAGAGACTCCACCACAAATGCGGGCTCTTCTGGTCATTGCAAGAGCCGTGCCTCCAAAAGCTGCTCTCACTGGCTGGGTGCTTCGGCCACAGACTTGCCCAGCTACTAACTGAGGGTTGCTTTTGGCCATCCTGATGGCACGGATATGCTTCCTAAAATCTTTCGCTTCATAGAGGCTTTTCCCACTGGAAATCTTCTGGGCTATGCTGTGGAAATCAAGTTGGGCTTCTACTGATGACGTGTTTACGAGTTCCATGATGCTGGTGGACACACCTGTCACAGCAGCTGCTGCTCCCAGTCCTAATCCAGTGGCTGAGAGTCCCAGACTGATGCCAGCTGTAAAGGGTTCCAGAGCCAGGCCAAGGATGGTCAGGATGCCAGATGCAATGTTGGTGGAACTGGCTACCACATTGGAGATGGTACAGTCCCTGTGCACCTTGTCAACATTGTCTGTGCATTCACGCAACTTTTTTATGCTCTTCTCCAGCTTCCGTTTAATCTGGGGAAACTCTTCTAAAAACCCCTTCTTGTCCGGCTGGTCCAGATATTCACGTAGTACAACTGCTTCTTCCCTATAACAATGAACATCAAAGGATGAAGAAAGACAATTTGCTTGTCTCTAAAATTGGCTCAACAAGATCTACTTTGCATAAAACAGAGATTATGAATTAAGTGGAAAATTTGTTGTATAAATTAAATGAAAATAATTTTGCAAATTAAAAAAAATTCAACATTGAACCCATATTTGGACATTGTTGATGCTCCATGTACTTATTGAATCATGGAAGAAATAACTAAAGAATCCTAGGATACTATTGACTTCAGAGAGGCATTTGACAAAGACGTCTCAGAGTCAGGTTAACACCAACACTTACAAAGAGCTGGTAGAGTGGGAACTCCACAGATAAACTAAGAGAAGTGGGGTTAGAGCAGAAAACCTTCACTGAAGGGCCTCAGCATGTGGTGAGGAGTCAACCTGTTCTTTGCCCTTGGCTATTGGGAAGTGGTTCCTAAGCCCCTAGATTAGTCTGGCCGATGCGAGTGTCCTCATCTGCCTGGGCCTTTGGCCACTGGGCAGTCTGGCAAAGTGACGTAAGGGGGTCTTGTGTCACGTGGTATCAGTTCGGACCTCTGGAGGAGCTGGACTCTAGGACACTTGTCTGACCTCAGGGAGGGGCTGGAGATGACAAGTCACGGTAATTTGTTTTTAAACAGGGTGAGCATTCCTGGCGAGCAGTGCTCTATGTGTCTGTCCTGCCACACACTGAATTCGGGAAAGTAACTCATCCTGAGGACAATGGAAGCTTCGTGTGTGAAACCCGCCCAGACTGCCCTGTGGCTGATGGGAACCTGAATCCTGTCCTGTCCTTTCAGTGATCCTGGAGCATCCTTCTAGGGAAAACTCGAACCTGAGGGTGGTTTTTTGGACCCCAGAAATTGACTGTTGGTGTCAAACATAAGGACAGTCCGGGGGACTGTGCCCTCTGATTTTGCAGACTGGTTACTTCAGTGTATGGAGAATTTTTTTAAAATCAAAACTTAGAGCTAGAAGGACCTTTAATGATCATTTTGGTTGGCATCTGCTCTCCCCTAAGCTGATAACCGCGGCTTTCACAGAAGGTCACTGGGTCCACCCACAGCCCCAAATGACAGGGAAGCAGGAGATGTGCTCTGAGCCCTGGTTCCCCATGGCTCTCCAGCCCACCTCACTGACTCCTGACCCATCACCCAGCTCCCTGACCTCTCAGGGGTCATCAGCTTGCCACCTTAGCTGTAACTTGTCCTGAGCACAACGGAAGCTTCGTCTGTGAAACCCGTCCTGACTCTGTCCTGTGGCTGATGGGAGCCTGAATCCCGCTCTGCATTAACTGTAACTGAAATTCTGACATCTTTCAGTGCTCAGCACCCCTGACCTCGCAGGTGTCACCAGTCTAACTCACACTATACCTGTGACAGCTTCACCGGACTGCACCCCAGGCTGTATGCAACTTTGTGGAACCTCTAAAGAACCTCTAAAGAGACTTGAGGAAACACCCATCTGAACGGCTGAGCCTGAGGAGACCGGCACTTGCACAGCTGGTGGAGGAAGTGTTTTCTCTTGGGTGGGGATGTGTGAGGCTCCTCAGAATCCCTCAAATGACACACAATCACAGCCCCTCACTGTGACCCTGGAGGGCCCCCTGAGCCACATGGCCTTCCACTGTCAGGGCAGCTCCATGTAGACTAGAAGAGGGTCCCAGATGGAGGGAGAAGCTAGGTCCCAGGCAGGGTGTGCAGTCAGGGTCACCCAGGGCCCTCTAGCCCAGCATGAGGGGACCCCATCAGAGAGGGAAGAATGTCCCCCCTCCCACTCAGGGGACCTCTGCTAGGGTCACAGCCCCTTCCGTTTGTGTCCTTGAGGCCCACTCTCCTCACTCTAGTCCTGGCCCTGCTGCCCAAGCCTGCCTACTAGTCCTCCAACTTGGACCCTCTGCTCCACCCTGACCCTGGGTCTGACCCTGGTCCAGGCCTCCCTGGGCCTTATGACTGCACTTGGTTCCCCACCTCTGACCTGCAGTTCACTCTGAGGCCATCACCACAATCCATTAGATTGAATTGCTTTTCCCACTGGACACAGGACAGATCTGAGGCTCCGAGAAATAAAGCCAGAGCCCCAGAGCTGGGCAGGACTAGAGCCAGGACCCCACCAGCTCCACTCAGTTCCTCTCCAGCCTTTCTGTCTTATTGTCCAGCAGGATCTTGCAGGGTTGGTACAGTTCCTAAACAAAGGGCTCAAGTCAGAATCCCTGGGAATGCAAAATGATGTTGATGTCAGGATTTCCTGACTTTTCACAAAGGAAGTTCTAGTTGGTTCTTATCTCCTGGAAGAAGGCCATTGGCCCCTGATTCTTCCCAAGAAGATTATTTTAAAAGTTAATATTAACTGAGCACATACTCTGTGTCAGCCATGATGCAAGGCACTTTGTACACACAATCTCAGTGTCCTCTGAATAAAACTGAAGTGATGAAGAAAGTAACGGCAAGTAGATCAGTAACTTGTCCAAGGCCACATAACCTGCTCCTTCCTTACAGGTTTCATCTCTTCTTAGTCCGAGGCCATTCACTGGCAGCGAATGACATGGAGGAAACATTCTTCATGGATTCTTGAGAGGGAACATCCTCAACCCCACCACACCATAGGATCCTGCCAGGAGGAGGTGTGCCTGCCAGGAGGAAAGCAGCCTGGGGCCTGAGGATCTGGGTGACCTTCCTGGTGCATCTGTGCAGTTTACCTGGACAAATTGACCTCAGCCACAAAACTCTCTTAGGCTTCGTCTTGAGCAAGCAGTTGTTGTTGCAGTTTAACCAAAAATATTCTGAGTGCTGGACAGAAAAAAAGAAAATTGGAGAAATTATGGGGGAAGGTAAATGGTACTGAGGATCAAGTGATTAAAGTTCATCTTTCTGAGTAGCAATGACCTGGGGTACTCTTGGTGGAATCACCTGGGGTTACAGATGGAACTGTTTTCCCCCCACCCCTCAATTCATATGTTGAAGCTTTAACCCCCTGGTAACTATATTTGAAGATAGGGCCTTTAAGGAGGTAACTATGGTAAAATGAGGTCATAAGTAAGGGGGCCTAATCCAATAAGATTGGTGTCGTTATTAGAAGAGACACCAGATCTCTCTCCCTTTCCTTCTGTCTTTCCTGCAACATGAAGTGTTCTTAGTTTTCCTCTTTTTCCCGGGTCACTAAGGGAGAAAGGAATATAGGGCTCACATGGAGGGAAGCCAGAACACTAAATCTGTGTATTGATTGATTGGGGAGGGGGTGGGCAGGGGTAATAACTGAGCACCTGGGGATCTGCAGGGGTATTTGAGGTCAAAAGGACCTGCATGACGCAATCACTTGGTAAGCAGGTGCTTATATATGGGAGCACTGTACAGGTGCCCTAACACAGCTAGGGGAAGGAGTGATTCTGGGGGAGGGGAGAAATTTCCACCTGGAACTAACATATTCTAGGTAGAGGGGACAGCACCACACCTCAGCAGAACCTACTGTGTGGCAGGCACTGGCCCAGGCCATGAACACACATTACATTTCATCCTCATAATAATAAAGGGATATATTATTCTCATTTTATAGATGAGATCAGATAGCTGTGCTCCAGGTCACACAGGTGCGAGGCAGAAAAGACCAGATGGGGGTTCAGTTCAGGATCCACTGACCCTCGCAGAGCAGCTGGGTGGGTGGCAGGAAGGGGTATATTATTCTCATTTTATAGATGAGATCAGATAGCTGTGCTCCAGGTCACACAGGTGCGAGGCAGAAAAGACCAGATGGGGGTTCAGTTCAGGATCCACTGACCCTCGCAGAGCAGCTGGGTGGGTGGCAGGACAAGAGCTGGAGGGAAAGGCCTCTGTGTTGACGCCCCAGGGTCTGGGGAGCAGGAGGAGGCTGGGCCAAGGCACAGGGCAGGAGGAGCTCCAGAGACCCTGAGGGACCTCCTCTTGCTGCCCCATCTGGCCCTGGGGTCTCCCTCTGCTGTCCCCCTCCCCGTGGGCTGTCCTGGCCTCACTTCTGAGTCACTTGCTAGAGGGCAGTGGGGGAGGAAGAGATCACTTTGCAAGTAGCTCCCCAAGGAGAGGGCTGGGAAAGAGGATCTGTGGACACCCCCCATTGGGGGAACTTCATGTGACCCCTCTGGGGGGCTCCAGGATGCATATCCATCCCCTTCTTGGTTCTTGATTCCTCTGTATGTTCACTCTGCCTGGAGCCACCACCCTCAATTCTAGGTCACAAGTAGGAACCGTCCAGAGAAGAGGCAGCCGATTACCTGAGGGGTAGATGTTAAAGCTCATGGTGGCAGCAGCAGGGTTTCAGCGATGTCCCTTCAGCTCTTTGTCTGAATCAGGTGTGGCTTCACCCTTGGGGATGAGAAAACGGGTTGTGGGCTCCATCAGCAGTGAACAGGGGCTGCAGGGAGCAGTGAGGAGCAATGTCTCTGGTGGGTTCCCCTGGGACGGCCGCCAGCGCCGCCAGGGACTGAACCCAGCATGATTCTCTGTCCCCTGGGCTCTGCTGGCCACTAGTTAAGGAAAGCTACTCATCTCCCACCAGCTCTCTCCAAGTCAGAGTCCTAGTCTCCTGTTGGGGCACAAGGAGAAGGTAATCAGAGAGGTGACAGCCATCTATGAAGTCATAGGAGCAATAAAATCAAAGACAAGAGCCGATAGGAAGGAATACTCTGGAAATTCCATGAGGTTGGGAACATTTTCTTTATTCTTTGGTAATAACTAGTACTGATCCAGAGTCTATGACATGCAGGCTCCTGAAATTCACCTAAACTTCAGTTAGTCCAAGTTTTCATGCTGGTGCCAGAGCCTGGACTTGAACTAAAGCCTTTCTCATCAAAAACCAAGGTTGGGAAGAACAAGCCCCAACTCCCTTTAATGTGGGCTTCCCAGGTGACCCAGCAGTAAACAATCTGCCTGCCAATGCAGAAGATGCAAGAGACTCAGATTGGATACCTGAGTTGAGAACTCAGATCCCCTGGAGGAGGAATTGGAACCCACTCCAGTATTCTTGCCTGGACAGAGGAGCCTGGTGGGCTACAGTCCACAGTTCACAAAAAGGGACTGAGCTCGCACTCCCTTTATTTTTTTTTCGCACTCCCTTTAATATAGAATAATATTTATTTGTGGATAGCTGTTAGTTGGCAAATGACTCCTTTTATTCCCAATGACATTTTCCTTCCTTTGCTTGAGTCTCTGCCTTGATAAAGCTGGTGCCACAGCTCCCACAGCCCACACCCTCCTTGCTTCTGCAAAAGCCTTTATGCCACAAGGGCCTGGAGTCCGCTCAGTTCTGCCCTGGATAGTCCTGAACCTGTTTGAGGCTGAGTCCTCTCCACTGTCTGTTGAACTCTACTGACTGTTGAACTTTAGGTTGTTTCTAATTCTTTATGTAAATATTCGTGTAGGCAACACTCTTCTTATATAAAACTTTGCTTGCCTTTTTTTTTATATGTCAGATTTTATTATTCCCAAATTAAATGAAAGGGAATATACTTCTTCAAGGGCAATTCAGTCCTTGTTTCATCTACTCTGATCTCTTAATTTTCTTCAGGCTCCTTTCTAGAAAGTTCCATGTGTGTTTAATTGGGTATGGGACTTAATCTTCACCACTCTCTCAGAGATTTGTACCTTCATCTTGCTTGATGGGAGGAAAACCCACCTAGCTCACAGGCCCCGGAGAGGGAAACGAGGCTCTCAAGGAAAAATGACCGAGATGGAGATGGGAGAGACAACAGGGCAGCTAAGCCAACAAGAAACAGGAGTCAGGAAAAAAATAACAGAAAATGTATTTAAAAACAGGCTTCTCCAGTTAGCATTTTGAATGAAATAGCCAACAGTTAACTCCAACCTGTTGTATTGTGTCTATGCTCCTGGAGTTCTCTTGAAGCTGTAATTCTTGAGACTCTGGCGGCAGCACCAGACATAAATCTGCTGAGAGAGGTATTATTAAACCTTTTGGTGGTCATTTTTTTCCCTCAACACAAATGGACAAATTCTTAAGCCCTGTTACCCATTTCGGCTTCCCTGGGGCTCAGTCAGAAAAGAATCCACCTGCAATGCGGGAGACCTGGGTTTGATCCCTGGGTTGGGAAGATCCCCTGGAGGAGGGCATGGTAACCCACTCCAGTATTCTTGCTTGGCGAACCCCCATGGACAGAGGAGCCTGGTGGGCTGCAGTCCGTGGGATCTCAAAGAGTGGGAACCTGTCTCTTCTCTGCTACTCTTCCTGTCCAGGACTGGCAGGGCACCCCCTGCCCTCCTAGATACAGCCTGGCTAAAATATGAGGTGTGGTGACCCCTTATGGGGACATGAAACAACCAGCTTCTCAAAGACACAGCACAATCCCTGTTGTGCCTGCAGTGCTGTAATTCCATCTCTTTTCCTGGTCTGTCTGGATGAAAAGCTCTTTCTGACAGACAGTATTATCAGATTTCTGAGTGTATTTCCTTTATAAGCATCCCCTGCTTTCCAAAAGATTAGCCTCTGCAAATAAACTGTGATGTGAGACCTAGATTGTCTATGCTCTATGCCATTTTGATTTGCAAAATTTTCATAGGAACCCTGTATATACAGGTGGCAGGAAACACCTGTATTTCCTCATGTCTCCTTACTCCAGCTATGATATTATTACATGAGAAGAGAAAGAGAAAACTGTGGAAAAACATGGGACTTATCTAAAATCTGATACATGCCTGACCCTTGATTCAGACATTCCAAAGCCTGGGACAGGCTTCTCCAGAGTCCTGTTTCCCAGAAACAGCCTTTCCAGGAAGTGGCCTATCAGAGACTAACAGAGGAGAAGGCCCCATACTGTAATCCAGGGCCAAGCGTGGCTGTGGGGCCCAGCTCCCTCCAGCCTCTCGCTCTCTGTTCCCTAACTGCTGCTGCGGACTTGCGGGGAAGAGAGTGGAGTCATACCCCGACTGCCATGAGGCTGCTTTGAAGACCCAAGAAAGGGTGTGTTCCTTTTTGACTGAGCGCTGGAGTGGGTTGCCTTGTCCTTCATCAGGGGATCTTCCCGACCCAGGGATTGAACCCATGTCTCTCATATCTCCTGCATTCGCAGGCGGGTTCTTTACCACAAGTGCCACCTGGGAATCCCTTGACTGAGAAAAGTACCCATTAAATATGTCCTGCTTGAAAGAGAAGAAGGAGTAAAGGAGAAAGGGGAAGGAGGAGGAGGAAGAGGAAGAAAGAAAAAGCTTCTAGTCAATCCATCAGTGAGTCCCAAAGAGATCTAAATGTAAGCCAGAAAGAAAAACACTACAAAGCCCTAGAAAAAAAATGTTAAAAATAAGATTGATTTGAGGAAACCTTTCTAGTCAAGACACAAATCCCATAAGCCATAAAGAAAAGTCTGATTTATTTGTCCTCTAAACATTAAACCATGCAAAGGACACCATANCCCTGACCCCACAGGAGCAGTAAGGACTTAAGGGCGCCTCCTCCCTGGAGCTCGGGGTCCTCTGGGGACAGCCGGTTCTGAGTGTCTCCCCTACGGGAGGGACACAGAGAAGAAAGGTGGTGGCCAGGGGCTTTCCTGGAAGGACAATCTGAGCACAGTCACCGCTCCCTCCTGCTCACTTTAAACCTCTGGCAGAAATCCAGGAAGCAGGGGGCAGGGAAAGCTACATGGGTCTCCCCGGGGGACGCCTCCTGCCATGAGGGCGCCCAGGCCCTGCTTCCTCAGTGCCCTCCACTGCAGGAGAGCTGGGGGGTCACGAGCAAGGTGTGGGTGTCCCGGGACTCACTCCCTGGCCAGGTAGCCCCTGTAGCAGTTCTGGAAGCCGATGATGACGTCCATGTTCTTCATGTCCCGCTCCTCCTCCAGGTGGGCCAGCATGCCGGCCTGGAAGAAGACCTTGCTCTGGCCAATGCGGTACCGGCTGCTACAGAGCTCCAGGGCTTCGATCCAGAGGATGAGAGGCAGCTGCTGACCATGGGGCCACCATGGAGCCCTGGAGCAAGGCCAAGGCCAGGGGAGGGGACTGGAGTCAGGGTTGGCCCTGCTGGTCTGTGGGCAGCCTCCTCCTGGTGCAGGGAGAGTGGGGGATAGGGGGACGCCAAGGGTGGGCAGGTGGGGGCCAGCAAGGGGCAGGCCAGGAGTCAGACTCGCAGAGAAACGCAGAAACTCAGCCCTGAAGGGCCTTTCCTGTGGACGTCTCTGCCCACGTGCATTTCTCACAAAGGTGGCAGCAGACATGGGGGCTCAGGTAACATTGCTTTAGGTGACTAGAGAAACAGGGTTGCTTTTTTTAAAAGCGTAGTTCAAAGTCAAGAGTGACCTAACATACTTAGGAGCCAGAGGAGCAAAGCGCAGGAGGACAAGCGTTGCCAGGCCAGATGTGGAAGCAGAGGGCGAGAACCACATGAGTCTTCTGAACGGCGCTGTGTCAGCAGAAGGGTCTTCCCATCAGTGGGAAGGCAAAGGGCAGCCTTGCTCGTCAGGGAAAGGGAAACGGCTTATCCGAGATGTCAGAGACGTAAGAAAAATAGAAACCCAGGTCTGGCTCTAAAGTTGGGATCTTCGCCATTCTGATTTATGTCCAAGGGGAAGGAGATGGGAGGGGGCCTGAAACACCGAGGTCCAAGTTCTCCCTCCCCATAAGGGCCTGCTTCCCTGGTATAGAGGTCTTAGGGCACCCTGGACCCAGGAGAGCCTGTGGAAGGACAGGAGGAGTGAAGGGTATGATTCTATCAGAAGAGCACTTGGCCATTTGCAAATCATTTACATTTTTATCATGTGATTCTCTTGAGGAGGGGCAGAATTATTATTTTATTATGTAGATAGGGAAACAGTCAAAGGCAGGGATGCGACTTGTTCAGATCACACAACAAGTCAGCGAAGGAAGTAAGGTTCAAAAATCATTTCAGACAATCTCCTGACAAGCAGACTCTCCTGCAGGCAACAACCACAGACTCTCGACCTGGTACAAAGTACCGAACTCTAAAGTACAGAGTGCAAAACCGCCATGCGAGGGCTCAGGAGAAGGAGCAGAGAAGGAAGATTTTGAGGGGAGTCAAATACAGATTGAATGATGGGCAAAGGGTGAGATGGTCATTTTTTGTGGATTTCTCTTGAAGGCAGCTGCAGTTCTTGGTTGGATAGAAGTGGCTGAAATTCTGATAAGTCTGCTACCCTTCTGGCCTGAAAAAGCCCCACGGACAGAGCCCAGAGTAGCCAGTAATCCTCAGTCTTCCCCAGCATCAGGTTCTTTTCCAGTGACTCGTCTCTTCACATCAGGTGGTCAAAGTATTCTTGTCACAAGAACCTTATTAACATGAACAGGATGAACCGTATGAAAGGTGGTGCACTTGCTGTTGTATGTGGGGTGCTTGGACCCAGAACAGGGTGAGGAGGGTCATTTTGTTGGTCTGAGAAGAGGGCACATGTGCATCCAGGAAGCACTCAATCTGGAGCCTCTTCGCCTGAGACTTTACCCCCAGGGTTCAGGTCCTTATTACCTATTCATCCTTCTTACCCTTCAGCCTGACCTATTGGTCCAAGAATACAGTCTCCCAACCCAAGCTCTTCTGTGTCCTGGGATTTTGACTCTGAGATTCTAGGTGCCTGGACCTAAGCCCCCTGCTGGCAGGGGCCTCAGGGGACAGACTGTGAGCTCCTGCCGGGGGACCTGTCCTGCTTCCTGTCCTTCCTGAAATGTGCAGGTTTGGGGGCTTCTTTCCATTCTCTGACCTGCCCCAGTTACCCCCAGTGGGCCCTCCTCTGTGCTCACTTAGCCAGACTCAGTTTCTGTTGCTCAGAACCACAGGGATCTCGCCTGAGACAGGGGTCACCATGGGATGGGAACCTGTTTGGTGTTCACATGCTCCACATGGAAACACAGAGAGTTGGTGCCCCATGGAGCAGGCCCAGGGCAGTGAGAGCAACACCCAGATGCTCCCTTTTCCTCCCTGGAGTGGATGAGCCTGAGGCCATTCCATGAAGTTTCCTCAGAAGGTCATGGTAGGTGCAATCCCAGATGAGTGACCGGGTCAGAACACGGCCTTGGATGGACTTTCCTTCCTTCCTGCCCACTTTTCCCAGCCCCCCAGTCCTGCTCTGGGGGATGTAGTGAGCCTGGCGCCCACCTCTGCCTTCAAGGGACCTGAGGCTCCAGCAGAATACTTTGGACTGCCTGTTTTATTGAATGGAAGTCCATGTTTCCATCACACAGTGAGGCCAAACAATACCAAAATGTTGGAGTTTGGAACCGAAGAAGGTTCATTGCAGGGCCATGCAAAGAGACAGGTGACTCATGCCTTAAAAATCCCAAACTCCCTGAAACTCTCAGCAAAGCCCTTTCATGAGAAAGGTAAACGAGGGGCCTGGTTAGTTGTTGCAACCTTCTTGGTGTCAGAGCCTTTCTTCTTGATGTCAGGTCATGATATTCCTGTGAACCTCCAGCAAACAAATTATTCTCTTTTATGATAAGAAAGAGCAAGGTCCCAAAGCTCAACCTTCACCCTTTGGGGTCCAGGCTCTGGCCAAGAGGAGAGGGGAAGCTCCTGCAGGAGTCGTGGTGAAACATGAAGGCAGCCTGGGTGAGGTGTGTGCTGTCTCCCTCTGCCCCTCTGCTTACGGCTGACCCTCTCCCACACCTGCACACAAGCCCTCTGCTCTCAATCACCCTCGGGTGCCCCGTGTCCATCCTGGTCCCCGGGGCTGGAGGAGGAGTATCCCCGTGCTCAGCCCAAGTCAGATGACACGGGCTCCCCAGGGTGTCCCATGGGGCCTGGGGGCTCCAGGGTCTGAGGGAAATGACTGGATGGGAGCCCAGCGGGCAGGCAGGAGGAGCCATGGAGGACGTGCTCCCTGAGACCCTGGGAGACAGGCTCATGCGGAAGGAGGTCAGGCATCTGGAGCCCAGATGAGCCCCTCAGTCAGTGCAAGGAAACCTCAGTGAATCAGCTCATATTTACTGAACCAGAGTCTGGAGAACAAAAGGTGGGGGGAGACCAAGGAACCTGAGTATCTTGTCCAGCCCCACCCACCACTGGAGAGGAAACCGAGGGTCTGAGAGGCAGCCTTTCCTCACCGCAGGCCAGTGATCTCCTTGACACACCGCACAGTTCCTTGGTCGGTTGTTGCCTTCTGGTGTCATTTTTTCTTTCTTTTGTGATTTTTTTTTTTAAATCAACCTCTGTTTCATACAGCATTTGGAATTTCATGGGGTCTTCATTAGTCACTCAGTGTATCCTGGTCCCAAATATCACCTGCATCTCGACAAATGTTCCACCCACTGAGTAGTCATCACTGCCACCACCACCATCATCATCAAGAAGTCACTGCCTAATTAAGGTAAACCTGCTGGGAGCAAAGGTGAGCTGATGCTGGAGAAGGAGGGCTAGAGACCATCAGCAGGGGGAGACTCTCCTTGCTGGGACAGCAAAGCCTGGGGAGCGCGATAGAGGAGCCCGGGCTGCTTCTCCTGGATCCCAGCTACCGCTCCTCTTTGACTTTCTCCCATTTTAAATGCTTTCATATTCCTGGCCTCTCATTGCTAGTTCCCCTGCCTCTCTGTTCTGCCCCCAGTGTGTTCTTTAGTCCAAAATAAGTGGTATCTCCCCTCCTGTCACTCTCCTCCCTTAGTCCAGGCTGCAGGCTCCTTCCTTCTCTCTCCCCATCTTCCACCTGCATGCATTCCTCCCCTGCTGTGCTCAGCTACAGAAATGCCAGATTCCTAACACTTAGCTCCATCAGTGTTGTCTCCCCCTCCTTTCCCCTCAACAAGGTGTTCTGATCCCTGGTCTCACATGTGTCCCTCGTTCCTGCACTTCTCTGGGGGTGGGGAATCAGGCTTTACTTCAGCCTCTCATAGGTCTGTATGAGCTCCTTCAACTTCTTCTCCAGCTCCCTGGCCTGCTGCCTCAGCTTCTCAGCCAACTCTGTCTTTGCCCCCTCATGCAAGTGCATTAACTCTTTTACCAGGAAGCCCACATCCACTAGAAGGGAGATTCCTGCAAAGCCTCCAGCAATGACCCGGGCCTTTTTGGTCATTGCCAGAACTGTGCCTTTGAAAGCTTCGTTCACCTCCTTGCTTGTTTGGATGGAGACTTGCCCAGTGCTTGTGAAGTTTTTAGCATGGGCTGCTAACTGAGAGTTGTCTTTCACCAGCTTTGCAGCGTGGACATTTTTCCTAATCCCTTGCATGGATTTGTAGACTTTCGCTGTAGAAAAAGCTATCCCAAGTGCAGACAGACATCGAGCTCCCACAGACACATTTTCTTTGATGCTAGTTGACAACAGGCCACTGGCTTCCGTTTCTGCTGATGACCTACTAAAGTGTTCCACGATGCTGGTGGACATAGTGGTCACAGCAGCTGCTGCTCCCAGCCCTAACCCAGTGGTCGAGAGTGCCAAACTGCCCCCTGCTGTCACGGGTGCCAGAGCCAGGCCAAGGATGTTCAGAACACCAGACACAGTGCTGGTAGAGTTGGCCGCCACCTTGAAGATGGTATGGTCCCTGTGCGACTTGTCAACCCTGTCTGCAAGTGCGTAGAGCTTTCTTATGCTCTTTTCCAGCTCCTTTTTCACTTGAGGAAACTCCTTTATAAACCTCTCCCTGTCTAGCAGGTCCCGTTGGAATCTCTCTTGGTCTTCCATAGCCAAGTCTGTCTTCAACTCATTCAGAAATTCACGTAATGCCTCCACTTCTTTCCTGTAACAAGGAACATCAAGGGATTAAGAAAGACAATTTGCTTATCTGTAAAGTAAGCTCAATGGATCTATTCTGCATAAGCCACAGAGATTTTATTATAAATCACAAGGGAAGAATTTTGCAAATGTAAATTATTTTCAACATTAAACACATGTTTGTACGTCATGGATACTCCATTATCCAACCATGAAATAAACAAGCAAAAGCCATTTTAAGATAATCTTAAGAGAGGTATTTGATAAAGATGCCTCAGAGGCAGGTCAACACCATCACTTCCAAAGGACTGGGAGGGTGGAAAGTCCACAGAGAAACTAACAGAAGTGGGGCCTTAGTTTGTAGTGACGAGTCAACCTGCTCTTTGCCCTTGGCAACTGAGAAGTGGTCCCTAAGCTCTTGGAATATTCTGGCTGATAGGAGTGTTCTTGTCTGCCTGGGCCTTTGGCCACTGGACAGTCTGGCAAAGTGACACATGATGGTGCCTTTGGGTCAAGTAATATCTGCACTGACCTCCAGAGGAGTTGGACACTAGGGCATTAATCTGACCTCTGGAAGTAGTCAGAGATAACAGGTCAGGGTATTAATAATTTTTTTTTAATTTTTTAGCTTGGAAATAATAACAGTAATAGACAAATAAAGCATCACCATAATAAATAAAAGATTGAAGCCTGGTCCTATTCTCATTCAACATCACAAAAGGGTTTTTGTCATCATGCATTTAACATTCTTTAACACCGAATTAACTTACTGGCAACTAACAAAAAAGAAAGACTATCACAATACAAAGAGAAACACAAATTGAGGACTGGAGACATTACACAAATAAGCAAAATACATAGTACACATATCCAGAACTTTCTAGAAATCTCATCTAATGATAACTCACCAATTTATTTGATGTTATATTTCAGGCAAAATGAACATTTTTTAAAAACGTTATAATTTGTTTTTAAGCAGGGTGAGCATCCCTGGGGGCCGGGCTCTGTGTGTCCTGCCACACACTGAATCAGGACAGTAACTTGTCCTGAGGACAATGGAAGCTTCGTGTGTGAAACCTGCCCAGACTGTCCTGGAGCTGATGGGAACCTGAATTCCGCTCTGCAATAAACTGTAACTGGAATCCTGACATCTTTCAGTGCCCAGCATCCCTGACCTCTCGGAGGTCACCAGCCTAACTCACACCTTACCTGGCGACAGCTTCACATACCTTCACCCTAAGGCTGTATGCAACTTTGTGGGACCTGTAAAGATTCAAGAGACTTTAGGAAACATCTATCTGAGTTGCTGAGCCTGAAGAGACCGGCACTTGCACAGCTGGTGGAGGAAGCGTTTTCCTCTCGGGTGGGGATGCGTGAGGCTCCTCAGAATCCCTCAAATGACACACAGTCACAGCCACTCACTGTGACCCTGGAGGGCTCACTGAGCCACATGGCCTTCCACTGTCAGGGCAGCTTCACATAGACCAGAAGAGGGTCCCAGATGGAGGGAGAAGCCAGGTCCCAGGCAGGGTGTGCAGACACGGTCACCCAGGGCCCTCTAGCACAGCTTGAGGGGATCCCATCAGGGAGGGAAGAAATGTCCCCCCTCCCACTCAGGGGACCTCTGCTAGGGTCACAGCCCGTTCAGTTCTGTGTCCTCGGGGCCCACTTTCCTCACTCTAGTCCTGGTCCTGCTGCCCGAGCCTGCCTTCTAGTCCTCCAGCCTGGACCCTCTGCTCCACCCTGACCCCTGGAGAAGGCCCGCCAGGAGGAAGTTAGCCTGAGGTGTGGGGATGTGGGTAACATTCCCGATGCACCGGTGTAGGTTACCTGGACAAACCATCCTCAGTCACAAAATTCTCCCGGGTTTTGCCTTCAGTGAGCAGGTTTTGCCTTCAGTGAGCAGGTTTTGCAGCTATTCATTGCATACTCTCTTCTGGATATACTCAATGATATCCTTGAAAAAAGTTTTTACCCTAGGTGGATAAAAGACTAAGATGAGAAGAAATTACACTGTAATGTAAATGGTAAATGGTAATGAGAATGAAGTGGTTAAATTAATCTTCCTGAGCAGCAGTCATCTGGGGGTACTGTTGATGGATTCACCTGGGGTTGTAGATGGACTGTGTCCAACCGCCCCAATCATATGTTGAAGCCATAGCCTCACCCCCACCTCAATGACTCTATTGAAGATAGAGCCTTTAAGTGGAAATTCCAGTGAAATGAGGTCATAAATGTGGGGCCCTAATCCAAGAAGATTTGTGTCCTTATTTGAAGAGGAAGAAATACCAGCTCACTCGCTCTCTGTCTATCCTGCAGCATGAAGGATTGTTAATTTTTTTTCTTTTTCCTGTTTTAGTAAGAGTGAAAGGAACCCAGGTCTCATATGGAGGGAACCCAGAGCACTAAATCTGTGTATTTATTGATTGGGGTGTGGGTGGGTGGGGGAAATAACAGAGCACTTGGGTGTCTGCAGGGGTGTTTGAGATCAATAGAGCCAGAACCTGCCTGAGGCATCAGACCTGGTAAGCACATGCTTATATATGAGATCCCTGGGTGGGTGTGGTGACACAGCATGGAGGGAGAGGTGATTCTGGGGGAGGGGAAGTTTTCCACCTGGATCTACACATTCTAGGTAGAGGGGACAGCACCATACTCATCAGGACCTGCTGTGTGGCCCAGGCCACAGAGCACATTACATTTCATCCTCATAACAATATAGGGAAATATTCTTCTCATTTTACAGATGAGGTCAGGTAACTGTGCTCCAGGTCACATGAGGGGGAGGTGACAAAGGCCAGACTGGGGTTCAGTTCAGGGTCTGCTGATCCTTGCAGAGCAGCTGGGCAGGCGGCAGGGCGAGAGTTGGAGGAAACAGCCTCTGTGATGATGCCCCAGGGTTTGGAAGCAGGAGGAGGCTCGGACAAGAGAGAGGGCAGGAGAAGCTTCAGGGATGCTGTGGGACCTCCTCTCCTGCCCTGTCTGGTCTCGGGGACTCCCTCTGCTGTCCCCTCTGTCCGTGGGCTGTTCTGGCCTCACTCCTGAATCATGAGCTGGGATCTGGGGGACTGGGAGGGAGAAACTGACCACCTTGGCCAGAAAGGAGATGATGGGGACAGACCCCAGGGTAGGGGAAGTCCCCTCGGACTCCGTGGGACTCGAGGATGCATATCTATTCCGTTTTGATTCCTCTCTAGGTTAATTCAGATTGTTGGCAGCATCTCAGTTCTGGGTCATAAGTAGGAACCATCCAAACAAGAGACAGCTGACTAACTGAGCAGTCTCAGAGGTCTTTTGGGTTCATGACAACAGCAGAAATCTCCTTTCAGCTCCTTGTCTGTGTCAGGCTGGAAGGAGGTGTGGCTTCACCCTTGGGAAGGAAAAACAGACTGTGGGCTCCATCATGAGTGAGCAGTGACTGCAGGAAGCAGTGAGGGGTTTGGTCTCCAGGGGTTCCCACGAGGATGGCCACCAGTGCCACCATGGACCTAACCCAGCATGACTCTCTGTCCCCTGGGCTCTGCTGGCCACTAGTTAAGGAAAGTCACTCATCCTCCCACTGCTGTCTGCACCCTGAGTTAGAGTCCTGCTCTCCTGTTGGGGCCCAAGGAGAAGGTAATCAGACAGGAGACAGCCATCTGTGAAGTTATAGGAGCAATAAAACCAGAGACAGAAGAACAGATAGGAAGGGATACTCTGGAAATTACGTGAGGGAACACTTGTGTGTACTAATTGGTAATAACTAATACTGATTCATTGTCTATGACATGCAGGCTCCTGAAACTCACCTAAAATTAGGTCAGCCCAAGTTTTCATGCTGGTGCCAGAGCCTGGTCTTTCCGATCTACATCCCACATTTGTGATGACTCTGCCCTATGCCTTTTTAATATAAAAATATGTGTTCGTAGATATGTTTATTAACAAACGAGTGTTTTCGTCCTGAAATGATGTCTTGCTCCCTGTGCTCCAGTCTCTGCTTTGATAAATTTCCCGATGCTGCAGCTCCTACAGCCCACAGCCTCCTAGCTTCTGCAACAGCCTTTATCCCACAAGGGCCTGAAGTCCCTCCAACCCCGCCCAATCCCTGAAGCTCTGCTCAGGGTGGCTGAGGACCCTTGATGGTGCCCAGTCCTCTCTGCTGTCGTCCCCTGACTGTTGAACTTTTAGGCTGTTTCTAATTATTTATGTAAATAATAGTGCAAAGAAACCTTTCTTATAGAAAAGTTTGCCTTCACTTGATAATATTTCTTTAAGCTACTTCTGGAAGTAGAATGACTGGGTCTGAGGGTATCAACAGCTAAAGATTTTTCATGTGTAGAGCCACACTGTTATGCAAAGAAACTACCAATTTATATTCATCCTCATGAAATAGGAGAATGCCATCCTTTCAATCTTGTCAGTTCTCAGTTGTCTTTTTTTTTTTTTTTAAGCAGATCTTTAAATTGAGAGGTTTTCTTTTGGTTCTGGATGTGACTATCATGTGCTGGGAGGTAAAGAAAGAATGCAAATGTTGATTATGTTTAACCCTTTTTTAGAAGGCAAAAGAGCATTTATCAACTACCCCTTCTGAGACCTGACTGAAATGATAATAAAGATCCTTATCGATATAACAACAGCTATTGATGAGAGCCTCAAGTGTTTCTGATTTTGCTCTACACTTCAGTTGCTCTAAGGTCTTATTAATTATAATGTATATTATTCCAATAACCCTGAGATGTGTACTATTGTATCCCTGTTTGAAGATAAGGAAACTGAAGCATAGACGTTATGTGATTTGCCCAACATCAGAAATCTTGTTCATGGTAGACTGGGTTCCAGTTCACTTTATGGGCTCAAGATCCCATACCTGGACTCTCCTCAGTTCAGTTCAGTCCTTCAGTCCTGTCTGACTCTTTGCAACCCCATGGACTGCAGTATTCCAGGCTTCCCTGTTCATCACTAACTTCCAGAGCTTGCTCAAACTCATGTCCATTGAGTTGGTGATACCACCCAACCATCTCATCCTCTGTTGTCCCCTTCTCTTCC